CATTTTCCGTATCCACTCATCCGATGATGGACATTTGGGCTGGTTCCAACTCTTGACTATTGTAAAGAGTGCTGCGATGAACATTGGGGAACATGTATCCCTTCGACTTGATGATTTCCATTCCTTTGGGTATATTCCCAGGAGTGGGATAGCTGGGTCATATGGCAGATCTATCTGCAATTGTTTGAGGAACCTCCATACCATTTTCCATAGAGGCTGCACCATTTTGCAGTCCCACCAACAGTGTGTGAGAGTTCCTTTTCCTCTGCAACCTCGCCAGCATTTATCGTTCAGAGTCTTTTGGTTATTAGCCATCCTAACTGGGGTGAGATGGTATCTCAGTGTAGTTTTGATTTGCATTTCTTGAATGCTGAGTGATGTTGAGCATTTTCTCATGTCTGTTAGCCATTCATATATTTTCATTTGAGAAAAGCCTATTTAGGTCTTTTGCCCATTTTTTAATTGGGTTACTTGTTTTTTTTGTTGCAAAGTTGTTTCAGTTCGTTGTATATTCTGGATATTAATCCTTTGTCAGATGTATATTTTGCAAATATTTTCTCCCACTCTGTTGGTTGTCTTTTCACTCTGTTAATTGTTTCTTTTTAGTTTGATATCATCCCATTTGTTTATTTTCCTTTGGTTACCCTTGCTCTGGGGTCATATTCATGATGTCTGTGCCCAGTCCTACTTCCTGAAGTGTTTCTCCTATGTTTTCTTTAAGAAGTTTCACTGTTTCAGGGTGTATATTTAATTCTTTAATCCATTTTGAGTTGATTTTGGTATATGGTGAGAGGTATGGGTCTAGTTTCATTCTCCTGCATATTGATATCCAGTTATCCCAGCACCATCTGCTGAACAGGCAGTCTCTTCCCCAGCTTATAGGATTGGTGCCTTTGTCAAAGATCAGATGGTTGTAGGTGTGTGGGTTGATTTCTGGATTCTCTATTCTATTCCACTGATACGTGTGTCTGTTTTTATGCCAGTACCATGCTGTTTTGGTTATTATCTTTTTGCAGTATAGTTTAAAGTCAGGTAGTGCTATGCCTCCAGCTTTATTTTATTTTATCTTATTTTATGCTCAGAATTGCTTTGGCTATGCATGGTCTTTTGTTATTTCATATAAATGTCTTTAAAATTTTTCCATTTCTGAGAAAAACGTCATTGGAATTTTGATGGAGAATGCATTGAATTCGCATGTCACTTTGGGTAGTATGGACATTTTCACTATGTTGATTCTTCCAATCCAAGAGCATGGGATATCTTTCCGTCTTTTTGTATCCTCTCTTATTTCTCTCAGTAGTGGTTTGTAGTTCTCATTATATAGATTTTTTACATCCTTGGTTAACTCAATTCCTAAGTATTTTATTTTTTTGGTGGCTATTGTAAATGGGCAAGCTTTCTTGATTTCTCTTTCTGCATGTTCACTATCGGAGAAAAGAAATGGTACTGATTTTTGTGTGCTGATTTTGTATCCTGCAAATGTACTAAAGTCATTTATCAACTGCAAGAGTTTTTTTGTAGAGGCTTTAGGCTGTTCGATATATAGGATCATGTCATCTGCAAACAGGGACAGCTTTACTTCTTCTTTTCCAATCTGGATGCCCTTTATTTCCTTCTATTCTCTAATTGCTCTGGCTACTACTTCCAATACTATATTGATTAGGAGTGGTGAGAGTGGGCATCCTTGTCTAGTTCCTGTTCTTAAAGGAAAAGCTTTCAGCTTTTCCCCATTCAGGATGATATTGGCAGTGGGTTTGTCATATATGGCTTTAATTATGTTGAGATACTTTCCGTCTATAGCTAACTTATAAAGGGTCTTTGTCATGAATGAGTGTTGAATTTCATCAAATGGTTTTTCAGCATCTATACAGAT